GGAAAGAAGGCAGCCTGGTGCAGCCACTCGCCGGTCCGCTCTGCTCCGCTCCATGCAAGGCATGCTCCTGCTGCCTCCTTTGCCCCCTCACCCTGCAACTTCAGTGATGCCATTCATCCCTGGGGGGCTCGGCCGATGGACTGTAGCCAATTAGCAAACAGCTAATGCTTGGAGGTGGTGGGAAGAGGAGGGCCAGTAGTTACCTGGGTCCGGGCCTCTGGTCACTGCGAGAATCCTGAGAGCTCTGATGGGTGGCCGGGGCCCAGGTCTTCTCAGAACTGGAGCCGGGGAAGCCACAAAAGGGTATGGGCCTCTCATGTGGGGCAGGGAAGGGTACTGCTCCCGGCCTCCCTCTTGTCTACTCAGCCAGACTCCTCATGTCCCCTACCTCAGCTCATTAGGATTGGGGCTGCTGCTTTCCATAAGGCACCTTTGTGAGAAGGACACAAAGGATCCCCTAACTCCAGGAGGACATAGCCTCATGCCAGGGTGCAAAACTTGGCGTGGGCTAGCTTTAGCGCCTGTCACCCTGGGCTGAACACCCTTGGTGGGGCACTAGCCCTGCTTGGGACCATCTCCTCCTTGCCCCTTGCCTATTCAAATACGCCTTTCCTCAGAGAGGCAAGGCTGTGGGACTCGGGGCCAGGCATGGTCCACTTAACGTGGTTCTGGAATGTTAAAGCTTTCCTCCTGTTTCACCTTAGGCAGCAAAGACTCCTCCCTGCTCAACTCAAAAGGGTAGAGGAAGACGAATTCGATTGCTCTGAAATACCTTCTGGGGGACTCTAGGTCCAGAACTCCAGGGTGGTTCCCCTAAGAGGTGAATGAAAGGAGAGAGAACAGATTTTCTGGGAAAACAGGGAGAACTGTGCCTGTTCCCTGGACCAAAGAGGCAAAGCAACAGGAGCTGAAGGCCAGGCCTCCAGCTGCTCCATCAGCTTCCCCCACCGCCCCAGGAACAAATCCAGCCAGGCCAGGGCCACCTTGGGCGCACAGCCTGGTGATGGGCACGTGGCCCAGCAGGATTTCCTGTGGGCAGTTTAGGAGGCTGTGAGAGCAAAGGACACTGCCTGCTCCTGGGTGGGGTTCCCCCTTACACCCCTGCTACTCAGCTCGACTCTGGACATCCCACTGGCAGACACACGGGCTGCGGAGTCCGAGTCCCGAGTTCAACCCAGCAGTGGGGCCTTGGGCAAGTCGACTGGCTCCTCTGAGCCTTAGTTTTCTCACCTATGAAATGGAGATAAGAAGGTCTGCTTGGCAGGTGGTGAGGTTTAAATAAGGTAAGTGACATCCACGCCTTCGACGGAGGCGGGCACGGAGCTGCTGTGTTCGTTACAAAGCCAAATGGAAGCTGGCACACCACCCAGATCACCGCGGCAAAGTGGGCCTGTTGGCGACAGTGTGCCCAGCTTCCCGTGATGCAGTAGGTGTGGGGCCGCCTTTGTGCCCCTGTGCCTCCCGCTTCTGCGTCCCCCGCCTATTCCCCCCACATAGGGGCTGCTGCCTGGGACAGAAGCCCATCTGGGCTCTGGCAGTGTGTGTCAAGGGGCAGATCCCCTCTCTGAGCAGCCCAGAGCACTGCAGCTGCTGATCTAGTCGAGCCCTTTCATTCTGCAGGTGGGGGGAAACAGAGGACCCAGAGAGGAGGCCAAGGAGTGTTCTCAACTTGCTCATCTGGTTCAAGCTGCCCAGGGTCCACCCCTCCCTCCCTCAGTACAACAAACAGTCCCAGCCCCTTTCTGCGCAGTGTCCACCCAGTATTTTCACAGGCTTGACTCTTACACAGGGGGCACTAAGGGCATATGTGTGAGGAAGAAGCTGGAAAGGCTTCAAGGATAAGGGGGGTCACTGGTAGAAGTTGGGGGTGTGATTCTACCTTGATGCCATCATCCCATCTAGATGAGCAGATCTTCAAGGAAGCCAGCGTCCCTTGAGCGTTTCGCATTCCTTTAGGCAAAGTTCTAACCACCTGTTCCTGTTAGTGCAGTCTTGCCCCGTTCTCCCCAAGATTCTTGGAACCACTTCATCCCTGAAATGAAGAAAAGCCAAGCAGGTAAAAGTAGGAGGAAGAGAAGAGACTATAACTTCCGAAGGCTTCCCGTGGAGCTGCGGCGGGGGAACCATTCCTGCCTAGTCCTGCCTGTTAAATCTTCTCCAGAGAAGAAAGATGCTTCTAGACGCTGGCAGGCCTAGACTGGCACAGGCAGTGCAGGCTTTAGCAGAGGCCTACCTGGCCCACACAGAGGGAAGGAGCGTTCTGAGAACAGCTAGCAAACCTGGGGTTCCCAGACGCATCACACATGCACCGAGGAGGTCCATTCTGAGTGGGTTTTCTAGGGTCTGGAGTTAGATCATCTCAGCCAGAGGTTCTGGGTTCAGCTGACTTTATTAGATCCAAATAGAGCTGTACGTGCCATGTGGTGAATGTGTGTAGCTGAGGGCGGGTGCCGCAGAGTGGGCTCGTGCTAAATGCCTTCTTGCCTAGTGTCCAGCAGCTTGGAGGATCTCCAGGGCCAAGGAAGCCACTGCACTGCTGGCCGACGAACTGTGAGAAAAACCAAAGTAGAGGCATTTAGGCATCCCCAGGGTGAAATGCTCTGTCTTCCAAAGGGGCTGGCCTCTTTTGCACCCGAGTACCTGATGGACCAGCTGCTTCCCAGAGCTGCCCCTAGCATCATCTTGAGAAGCAGAAACGCCATTCGCAGGCTCCAGGGCCATGAGGTGAGGACCCCGAAGCCCACAGTTCCACAGGGGCTCAGCACTGGCCCTGCCACCCACCCCTCGACGTCTGACCCCACTTTGGACAGGTGCACCGATGCTGAGCTGTGAGGGCAAGTCAGGTGGACGGCAGCCAGAGCCTGCTGGCCCGAGGCCCACAGTGAGCCTGCCCGGCGCCTGCCTGCAGCTGACCTGTGCCGTCCAGCAAAGATCCCAGCTGCTGACACTCCCTGCTCCATGCTGCCCCTTCCTGGCCAATCAGCCAGAAGCTTTGGGTTTCTTACTCTCATAGGTGTGGATGTGCAATTAAGAGCTTCAAATGGAAACTTCGTTATTGGAGCAAATTGTCCGAGACACATTTAAGCCTGTGCCTTAACAACTGTTACCAAAGAAAAGAATGGCGCATAGCAGTGTGCCTTGAAGTATAAAATTAGCTGATAGCACACCCTTCGCTACACAGAAATACAGATGTTGCCAGATGCCAGGGGGCTGCATAAGAGAGGTGGGTCGCAGGGGGACAGGACTGTGGTCGGAGATGGTGCCATGCGTTCCTGCTCTGTGCATCAAAGGCCCCTTTGAGGGCTGAGGGAATGCACTTGAACTTGGCCTGCTCCCGGCTGAGACCAGGCTACTCTGGTGGAGCCGTGCTGCCCACTCCGCCTGCCAGAGCAGCCCTTGGGGGCCAGTGACCGGCAAGGAGGGACACATCCACCTGGCAGGGCCCCATCAGAACTGAGAATGCTGCCATCCAGTCACCCTTGGTCAACATGAGAAAACCTTTTTCTGGTGGGGCCATCCGAACAAAGCCCGAACAGGACAATTTCAGAGCAGCAGCCTGTCGACCAGTATGAGATCTGCCTGGTGTAGACGTGTTAGTTGCTGGAGTGACACGTATGGGTACGGAGGAGGCCACCAGCCTCAGCGAGTCTCGTTTTCACATGTTTGGTCCAAATTTGGGTCCAGCGCTCCCCAACCGGTACAGCATGAAGGTATGCCGGCCTCGGACCCAGCTGGGGGTCGGGGGAGTCCCACAGAGGCAGGCCGTGGAGAGGAAGGGCTCTCAGCAGCTCCCCACTCAAGTCCACGCCTCCCGGTGGCTCTCCCACCCTCTGCCAGCACACATCTGCTCACGGGGGCCTCATCTCAGCTGTCTGCACAAGGCCAGGGTCCCCAGGTATGGTCATCACCTGCTCCTCACAAAAACCAGTCTAGCGGAAGGCCTGTGGCCCAGCCTGGGGAGCCAGTGTCCGTGCCTTACACCACAGGGGCCACACACCTGAGCAGGGGCCCCTCCCATCAAAGTCAGCCCGTCCTTCCCCTCAGCTCACAGTAACCACGGGTAAGAACTGACATCTTTGGCTTAAGCTACAGAGAAAAGGGGGTGGCCGTAGGCCAGGAGGCGCTGTCCCCTCCCCACCCAATCCAGGATTAATACAACAAGGCTGCATGGAGCTGAGCCTTCGAAGACTCACCTTCCCAGCAACACCTCAACCGCATATGCTGCTTCAACTAATACAAAACCCCAAACACCAGGAAGCAGATTCCATAGAACCTTGTGGCCCCGAAAACAAACTACCGGGGATGCTGGGCACCACCCCGCGTCCCGCACACCCAGCGAAGGCCAGGTACCCCTTAGCAGGTGGGGCCTCCTCCCCAGGGCAGGGAGAGCAGCTGCAGCTCAGGGGCCACCACGTCCTCTGGCCGCCTCCCTCAGCTCTGGGGACAAGGCACTCACCGAGTCATTTAATCAAGCCCCTGAACCGCCCCCAGAGCCCACCTGCCAGGCCCTGGCACTGTCACATGCAGTGAGCCATTACACAGCACACTGGCTGCCTAAAGGGTGGATACCTGGGGGCGGTTCTCTCTTTATTCCCATGCCATTTTTCTCTGGTCACGTGGCACTAACATTTTAAATGACTCGTCAGCCCTACCCGCTCCCCCCAGACCCGGAACCGCTTCTTCAGGGAGTGCAGGGGTGTGTGCGGCAAGAACCCTCCCAGCGCCCTCACTACACCGGCATCGGCGTCACCGGGGGGCTGGCAGAGAGGCCGGTCCCTCCCTCCACAGGGTGCAGCGTGTTCCGGGCGACAGGGCTGTCCTGGCCTTGGCACCTCACTTCCAGGGTGCTCTAGACGTACTGACTGTGCAGCTGAGGACTGAGAGGCTGACCTAACCTCAGCTTCTCAGTGTCAAACTGTTCTGGGGGTTCAAGTTTTCCCTGTGACGGCAGCCAGGGCTGTAGAGTGGGCCTCCAGACCCTCTGCAAGGTGGCCAGGCTGCCGCGGGGGGCACGTGTGCACAAACAGGTACTGCTTTTCTCATGAGGTTCATCAGGTCTCCCACCGGGTCATAATCCACTCCCGTCCCCACCTGGAGGTGGGAATACGGCCTCCCCGAGCTGCAGGGCCAGGATGCTCTTCTTTTCTCCCTCCCGTTACCTCCCCCCGCCTCCATAGTGGGGACTCCCGGGGGGTGGGGGGGCAGAGTGGCCCATCCCACACTGGGAGGGAGGGATCTCAGTGGGCAGTGTCAGGCGGGAAGGTGACGGTCCCTGGTGTGTAGGGGAAACCGGGGGGG